ATTAATGTTTGTATATGGTGAAGGATAGGGACCCAGTTTCATTCTTCTGCATATGGTAGCTATTTTTCCCCAGCACCATTTGTTAAATAGAGTGTGCTTTTCTCATTGTTTATTATTGTCAGCTTTGTCAAAGATCAGTTGATTGTAGATGTGTGGCCTTATTTCTGGGTTCTTTATTCTGTTCCCTTGGTCTATGTATCTGTTTTTGTACCAGCACCGTGCTGTTTTGGGTACTATAGCCTTGTAATATAGTTTGAAGTCAGGTAATGTGATGCCTATGGATTTTTTCTTTTGCTTGGGTTTCCTTTGGCAATTCAGTTTATGTTTTTTGGTTCCATATGAATTTTAAAATACTTTTTTCTAATTCTTTGAAAACTGTTGTTGGTAATTTGACAGGAATTGTGTTGGATCTGTAGATTGCTTTGGGCAGCATGGTCATTTTAATGATATTGATTCTTTCAGTACATGAGCATGGAATATTTCTCCATTAGTTTGTATCATGTATGACTTTTTCTGTCAATGTTTTGTAGATCCTTGTATGGATCTTTCGCCTCTTTGATGAAATATACTCCTATGTATTTGTGTATGTGTGTGTGTGTCTACTATAAATGGAATTGAGTTCTTGATTTGAATCTCAACTTGAATGTAATTGGTCTGTAGAAATGCTACTGACTTTTGTACATTGATTTTTGTATCTGGAAACTTTACTGAAGTCATTCATCAGGTCTAGAGGTATATTCAGGGTTTTGGAGGCATATTTAGGGTTTTCTAGCTATATGCTCATGTAAGTTTATTTCCTCTTTTCCTATTTGGATGCATTTTATTTCTTTCTCTTGCCTGATTGCTCTGGCTATGACTTCCACTACTATGTTGAATAGAAGTGGTGAGAGTAGACATTCTTGTCTAGAAACAAAGTTTTGATAGGGCAAATATTGTATGATTCTACCTAAGTACTTAGTATAGACAAATTCATAGCGACACAAGGTAGATTATAGATTAACAGGTGGTTAACCTCTGTTAAACTATTGAAAGGGGAGATGGGGAGATGGGAAGGAGTTATTCTTTAATGAGTTATAGAGTTCTGTTTAGGATGATGAAAACGTTCTGGAAATAGATAGTGGTGAAGTTTACACAACATTGCAAACATACTTAATGCCATTGAATTGTACACTTAAAATAGTTAAAATGGTAAATCTTATGTATATTTTATCAGTATACAAAAAAGGAACAAACTTTTGATATGTGCACCAACTTTGCATTTTTAAGGTAGAAAAAGCCAGTCTCAAAGGTTATATGCTTTCTGATTGCTTTTATATAACAGTCTTGAAATGATGAAATTATAGTGATGGAAAAAAGAATACTGTTTGCCAGGAGGGAAAGAAGTGGCTGTGATTATAAGAGTGACATGAGGGATCTTCTCATGGAACTGTTGACCATGATGGCCATAAGAATTTGAACATGTGACAAAACTGCGTTTAACTGAATAAACACACAAATGAGTACATGTTAAACTGACAAAATCTGAATAGGGTAGGCCTTATCATGTCCATTTCTTGTACTACAGATTTGCTAGTACACTGGGGAAATTCATTGAAGGGTTTATAGTCTCTCTCTATATTCCTCTTACAATACATGTGAATCCAAAATTATCTCAAAACAAAAAGTTTTTTTTAAATGGTAAGGGAAGCATGCGCCTACTATATATTGTTTCACTGACTTTTCACTTCACTCTTTGAGGTAGTTATCTTTACCCAAAAGGTATGAATAAGGAAAGTGGGACTTAGCTTAAAGCATTGGCTCTACTAGTTTGTTCCAGTCTAACTCCCAAACTCACCTGAGGTGACTAGACTGGATGAGCCTCAGCTGGGTCTGGGCATAAACTGCTCCTCAGCCACCCCTTAGCAGCTTTCAGCACAACCCTCAATGGAGAAAAGTAAAGCTGCTCCCAACTCTCTTCCCTGTCCAGAGAAGTTGTTATAAACAACTTTGGTCTCAGGGCATTTGTTATTTGATGCATCATTGAGTCTTTTCATACAGTATCTGTTTGTCAACAATTAAAAATAAACATAATTATTTTTCCTCAGAAATCTTACTCTTTCATCTTCTCCCCTTCCTGATTCTTCTCTGTTCCTCTCTTTTAACAATATAGTAGTACTTTAAGTTACTAACTTACACCAACCAAAACTCATTTATACTTATATACATACTACCTCTTCTGGGTCTTTTTTATTTTCAAGTTTAATTGTGGAAGGACAGGTTTTGTTACACAAATGCAGGATCGTCACTCAACGTAGGCAGATTCTTACTGCTTTTCTCCATTTCCATCCTTCCTACCTCACTACATAGATTGGCCATACTGTTTATACATGTTGTGTCTGCCCCTGTTGTTTTTTCATAGCTCCAATTTTCTCTATCAGAAGTGTCTTGTTTTGAATGATAAATCACATGATTATCCACTCAAAAAGCATTGATCTGACTTCTTTCACATCAAGAAATAAAAAAGATTAAATAGAACTTAAAATCTACTTTATAAATCTTTATGCCACATATCTTGTTTGGTTGACTTACTTGGTTTTCAGAAGCAGAGATTGAGTCAGATTACCTCAGGAAAAAAGAGAATTTATTTTAATGATACAGTGGCACTTGAATTTCAGCCAAAAGCAGCTCTAGGGACAAGCTATACTCTTCATCTTTCTCTCCCAAGTCACCTGATCTTTCTCTCTAATTACCTGCTTTTAGTGTGTGTGCTTGCTATGTTTTCTCATTATTGCCTACCTTTTTTTACCTATTGATATTTTCTTATTCTAAATTCAATATTTATATCATAGTGATCCTTTTTGGCCTTTCTAAAGGTCAGAGGTTCTTAACTTGGGATCCACGAATGCTTCTAAAATACTCCCACGCTAAAAAATATGTTTATATATGTGTAATTTTTCCTAGGAGACGGTCTATAGTGTTGAGCAATCTCCAAAAAGTCTAAGACATTAATAACTTTTCCTTTTCTGTCCTTATCGATAACTACCATTGAATCTTTAAAGTTCAGTTCCTAAGAAAGAGGCTCTGGCACAGCTCATCTTTTTCTACCAGGTTACCAATCATCTACTACAGTATGGATTAACTACCCTTATGTCAGATGTAATCTCCTGATCTAATTATTTCTGTATGATTAGACATGCTGCTTATACAGTAAAACTTTTGAATGTTATTTAAAAAGATTCATGTGAGTCTGGGAACAGTAAGTGGCATTACCAGCATACTTTATTAAATTAGTATTTATTTAATACATATCTCTGGGTAGGACATCATGACTTGCTCTGTGAAATAAACAAAGGAATTAAGAATCTTGGCTTCAAACAAATGGAAACAATCCAAATGTTCAGCAGCTGATGAATAGATAATGTTCATAAAATTGAATATTTTTGGCAATAAAAAGGAATGAAGTATTAATACATACTTCAACATGGATGACCCTTGAAAACATTATGCGAAATGAAGGAAACCAGTCACAAAAGAGTGTGTCTTGTATGATTTCATTTATATGAAATGTCCAGGATAAGCAAATATATAGAGACAGAAAGTAGTTTAGTAGTCGCCTATGACTTAAGGAGGTGTAGGGAGCAAGTGGACTGACTTATAACAGGCATAGGGTTTCTTTTTGATATGATGGAAATATTCTAAACTGTGGTGATGGTTGCACAACTCTGTGACTATAGTAATGATTGAATTGTATGCTTTACATAGATGAATTTTATGATGCGTGAATTATGCTTAGTAAAGCTGTTAAGGAAAAATAATGCCGGCCTCAAGAAATTTATAGTCTGTAGGAGTAGTAATATACACAAATAATTATAAATTGAAAGTAGAAAGTGGTTGTAAGAGCTATTTAAAAAATAAGTCTATAACATGTTAATACATTTTACATATTGGTCATGTGATTCAACTTTAATTTCTGACACAGATGAAGTATTTATGGGAAGAGGGTATGAATAGATGGGTTAGAGATTAGATATTTCATGAGAGAAGCAGAACTTGAATTAGAGCATGAAGCAATAACTATTTTTTTGTTTAAAAAAGGAAGGGCATTCCAGGGCAAGAGAACATTGAGAGTTCCAAAGCTGTCTGACACTTTATTGTTACAAATATGAGCCAGAAAATGAAGCAAGAAATTGACCTTGACTAGAATATTATTCACTTTAATGTATTTAATGCTTGAATGACCTTGTACCCTGGATTTTCCATAACAGCTCCAATTCAAATACTCCTTTCTTCTCCCATAAGCACTAGATGTTGAAAAGCATCTTGCTGAACCTGGAGAGGGCACATTTTAAATGTTTATCAAAAAATTACCCTTCTTCAATAGTTCATGTAAACCAGTAGGCCAGTGAGGCCTAACTTCAATGCCATACAACTACGTTAGAATTGATGTCTGCCAATTTTCATGTTGACATTGGAATACAATTAAATATATATTTTTGAGCTATTCAAATTTAATTATATTTAAATTACAAAGTGAAGCTGGGGCATTATGAAGTATTTTAGGTTGGTGCAAAAAGTAATTACAGTTTTTTGCCATAATACTACTTACTGCATCCTTCCCAGAAAAAGGGCACAACTAAAGCCTCTATATGTGCCTGACATTGTAATCATAGCAAGCACTATTAAGAACGTATGTAGCTATTAATTTTTTTAAAGTATGCAATGTAAAGAGATGATTATGCAACCTCTTTTGCTAATTTGGGCTGCTTTGCTGGAGATTATTAAAATATCCTGGAATTTCAGTATGTCGGCATCTAAACTGTATCTTGCAGATTGCAAGAAACAAAGGATACATGGCTATGAAGAGAAAATATTTTGGATAACATGGTATGCATTATTATAGATGTTTACTTTATAAAAGCAGTTTATAAATCTGGTGTTTTAACATTTATAAAAATAAGAATTTACCAGGTATTTTAAACAGATTCTGTAGTTTAATAACCACTTTAATTAATATGTTTCAGTTCTGGAGGTGGTTTTTGGCAAACCTGGCTTCTGGTGGAGCTGCTGGGGCAACATCTTTATGTGTGGTATATCCTCTAGATTTTGCCCGAACCAGATTAGGTGTCGATATTGGAAAAGGTATGAGATTTTTAGAAACACCAACTTTTCCTTTTTTGTATTTTGAACCATGTGTTATTTATTGTCATTAATTGTGCTGTAATCGTGTTACCAGATAAAGTCTACAAACTTTATTCTTAACCAAATGGTAGAATCATAGGGCCTAAAGTGTATTACTTGCTTCTTTTCCCTAAAAAAAAAAAAGGAGGGAAAACCTGTTGTAACAAAAAAGAGAACATAAAAACTGCTTATAACTTAGTCTCATTTTTTTTTCCCCTAGAAAGCCCTTCCCTGATTTTCCCATGCATTTACTCCTGTCTCAGCTGTGACTCCTTTCTAGGTTAGATGCACAAATCTCATCCTCGGGATTTCCTTTGCCTCTATCCTTACTTAAATGTCACATCTTCCCTTTTTTGTTATTACACGCCCCCCTCCCTTTTTTTTTTTTTTTTTCTTTTCTTTTGGTAGAGTATGTTCTTTGGTAACTTTCTGAGAAAGAGTGAAAAAAAAAATAAATTGAGCTCTTACAAATCTAAAAAAAAAAGTATTTGTCTTATTCTCTCAAAAAGGGTAAGACATATATAAAATCTGAGTTTAAAATTATTTTCCTTCACAATTATGAAAATATTACCCTGATGTCTGGTTTCTAATGTTGCTCTTAAGATACCAATTCTCTTACTCTGGATCCTTTAGTATATGTTTTTTCTTTTTAGTTAGTACTATCCCTGATGATCTTATATTTCACAGTAATAGACCTTTATGTGAGTCTTTTTTCAGTGTTAGCCACTCAACTGGCCCAGTAAAATCTGGAGCCTTGTATTCAGTTCTGTGGGTGGCAACACAATAAGTCATTTGGCTGCTCAGGGTGAGATTGTAGATATTGAGCATATACTTGCTCCTTTCCTTTCTTCCTGGAAATAGTAGTTAGTTCCTCTAATTTCTAAGTCTTTCTGAGGTTATTGTAGTCAAATGGCTTGCTTCCCAACAGTATCTTCCTCTGTAAGAAAATAGGTTCAGTTTTTCCTGCCCTATTTGGTGAGTTACCATTCTTCCCTATTCTCTCCATCTGGCTAAATTTTGTGGATTTCTTTTTGTCAGGTACTCTTCTTGGCCTATCTGGCTTTAAACCTGTTTTATTTCATTCTTACTGTAATTGAGTTTCTTCAGGGAACAGAGATTCATTCACCAAATATTGAGTGCCTTCTGGAATATAGGGTGCCTGCAGATACAGGGTGTGTGTGAGTGTGTAAATTTGTATATATATATGCACACAGATATTCACATTCCACCCCCCCCATATAAGACATAGTGCTCATGCCTCATGTACTTTTACTCTAGTGGAGGACACAAGTAATAATAAATGAATAAATAACTAAAATATATTGTCACTTAATAATAAATGCTAGGGAAATGAAAAGAGAGTGATGTGAATTTTAAATAAATGATCAGAAAATGTCTTGGAAGGGGTAGCAAAGAAGAAAATGTGAGTTTCATCTATTATATTTAACTGGAAGTTGAAATTTATTTTTATTGATAAGAGGGTGAAAATAATATTACCTTGTTGTAAGTTTTATAGTTTTGTTTTCTATTTCAAATCAGGAGGATTTAGTTTATTCTTGAAAGATTACATTGTACATATATAATAATTTTAAAACATTGTCAAAGAATTCTTGGTCAAGGGAAAAGAAAAATAAAACCAGAAAATACTAGAAAAATATGATCCCATCATCTGAAATATTAACTATCCTAAACTTAACTAGATTTTAGCTTTATCTTTTTGTTTTACAACAGTCCTAGAGTTTTTCATTTCTTTTCTTTCTTTCTGTCTTTTTTTTTTTTTTTTTTTTTTTGAGACAGACTCTCACTCTGTCACCCAGGCTGGAGTGCAGTGGCGTGATCTGAGCTCACTACACACCCTCTGTCTCCCAAGTTCAAGCAATTATCCTGCCTCAGCTTCCCGAGTAGCTGGGATTACAGGCGCCCACCACCATGCCTGGCTAATTTTGTATTTTTAGTTGAGATAGTTAGTGTTTCACCATCTTGGCCAAGCTGGTCTTGAATTCCTAATCTTGTGATCTACCCACCTTGGCCTCCCAAAGTGCTGGGATTACAGGCATGAGTCATCACGCCTGGCTGAGTTTTTCATTTCTAAGTGTTTTTTGTTTGTTTGTTTGTTTTTGTTTTTAATAGAGACAGGGTCTTACTCTGTTGTCCAGACTGGAGTACAGTGGCATAATCATAGCTCAATGAAACCTCCAACTCCTAGTCTCAAGTGATCCTCCTGTCTCAGCCTCCTGGCTAATTTTTTTTTTTTTTTTTTTTTTTTTTTTTTTTTGTAGTGGCAGGGTCTCACTATGTTGCACAAGCTGGTCTGGAACTCCTGGCCTCAAGCAGTCCTTCTGCCTTGGCTTCACAAAGAGCTGGAATTATAGGCATGAACCATCTCACCTGGCCCATTTCAAAGTATTTTCTTAACCTCAATTAGTAACTTCTGGTAACTTTAGTAAAATATTTTAAGGCAGGTTGTTTGAAATAAATTGTTTTCATAAGAGATTAATGTTTTCCATTAATTTATTTTGGGATATTACTTGAAATCTTGGTTATCCATAAAATAATGGAAGAATTTTGATTTTTGCCTTCTTTGTTAGATTCGTAAGTGGAAATTTCAGATTATTTAAATCTGTAAATATTGATTAAAGTGTCTATTGGATATATAATGTTGCTAATAGATTTTATATGGCTTTATTTTAGGTCCTGAAGAGCGACAATTCAAGGGTTTAGGTGACTGTATTATGAAAATAGCAAAATCAGATGGAATTCCTGGTTTATACCGAGGGTTTGGTGTTTCAGTACAGGGCATCATTGTGTACCGAGCCTCTTATTTTGGAGCTTATGACACAGTTAAGGTAATCTGGGGGATTAACTTGGACATATTTCATAAATTTTAAATTAATAATATTTTAAGCAAATGTTACTTTTAATTACAAAAATAAAAATCAGTGATGAAATAAGAGAGACATGAAATTCCCTTAATCATGATTTTGCCATAACCTAATTAAATTATAACTATAGTATGGATCTGACTTTAGTTATAAAGCATGTATCTAAGCTTTTGAGGTGTTTTCACTATGTATCACGTTGCAAATGAAAAACATGCTAATTAAGCTTACATCATAATCAAATTGTTGGTATATGGAAAGGCATCTTCTAACAGTTTTTCTCATTTTATGTTAACCCTATTACCACTTTTTTGTATGCAAATAATTAAATACTGTCATTTTGGGAAGTAGGCAAAGCATAATTAATTAAATGCTACTATAGCTTAGTTATCTGCTGGATACCGTTCCATTCTGTGTTGTATTCTCCAGGTCGTTCTGCAATTTACCTTTTAATTTCAGACTTTAAGAACACTTCCATGTGGTAGGAAAAAGAAAAATTGTAATAATGGCTACCAATTTTTAGCTATTACTTAGTTCTAGAAATCTTTAAGTACTTTACATCTTATATCTCAGAAATCACCAGTTAAGAACTTACCCATGTAACCAAAACACGGCCTTCCCCAAAAACCTATTGAAATAAAAAATAGTAATAAAAGAAAATAAAGATACTTCTAATTGTTTAAAATAAACAAGTAATAATAAAATCCCCCTGCTTTGTTTAAAGATAAATAGCTAGGAATAGTTAAGTGACTGACTTGTTAAAGGCAAGCCAAAAAATCCTTGTTCTTAATAACTACATTATAATGCTTCCCAAAAGAAGCAAAGAAATTAACATCAGTATTATTTATTAAGCAAGATTAATACTTGGGAGACATTTTATAATTGATTTATATATTATCTCTGGCCTCCCTCGTTAGTATATACGTAGTTGAATATCATTTTTATTGTGGTCTGGACAGATCAGTTTTTCGTGTATTTTTTAGACTGCTATGTTAGTGGAAATTACAGGATCTCATTTATTTAATCACAGAAAAGTTATCTGTGTACTGCCTCTGTTTTTCTTCGTAATCGCCTGCAGGAGTTGCAAAATTTAGAAACATTTTTCCATAGCTTAAAGTTTTAAAGCTGCTCATCACATATGTGTTGATGATAAAAGCATTTTTTCACTTTTTTTCAACCCCACAAGGAAGAGCCATGTAAGAACTTCTTTTTGTCAATGAATGCTATTTTCCCTAGTTTTATGTGCCATTAATAACGAATTCCTATAATGGAAAATATGCTTTATGTTTTTCAAATATACCTTTGAAATATAGTCATGTGTGGCATTCTACTTTTTATTGAGCTGCTACTATTAAATCCCACTATCTTATTGCATTTTAAGTCTAATTGGGTCCTCTTTCATTTATTTATAAAAATTATCCTTTAACTTAAGAATTTAGGATATTTTAGAAATTTGGATAGTTACTTGACGCATTTTTCCTTTCTAGGGTTTATTACCAAAGCCAAAGAAAACTCCATTTCTTGTCTCCTTTTTCATTGCTCAAGTTGTGACTACATGCTCTGGAATACTTTCTTATCCCTTTGACACAGTTAGAAGACGTATGATGATGCAGGTATTTTATGTTACCATTTCTAAGCTCAGTTGAGTCTTTAATATCTCTGATATTTAGGTATAATCAAATTTAGGAGAAATTTTGGCTGAAAGGCATAGGTCATTTGTTTTACTTAGCTAAAATAAATACATGATGTATTTTGTCTTATATTCTTTCCTATCCTAAAATAACTATCAGCCAGAAAAGCTGCTTCCTCACCTGCCATCAAAACAGAAATGCCTGCTATTCCTGTAGCATATATGGCTTGGAAGGTAGAGGGTTATGGCAAAAATTGGATGAGTATGTCTATCCTAACTGAAATGTTAGATTAAATAGAATAAGCCCAGTCACAGGCCATTGAAATATTTCATTATTTACTGTAGTATATTTTTATGAAAGTAAATAATTTTGAACTCCAAGGACAAAAACTTGTTTGTAATGATTTATGTTCTAAATAGAAGTCCCTAAACCAAATTTTTGATACATTTGATCTCTATTGTTATTACCAGTTGACCATCCTAAATATGAAAATCCTAAATCCAGAACACCCCAAAATTCAAAATGTTTTGAGTACCAACATGATGCTCAAGGAAAATGCCCATTGGAGCTTTTTGGATTTCAGATGCTCAGCTTGTTAAGTATATAAAGCAGATATTTCAAAATCTGAAAAAATTCGAAACACTTCTAGTTCCAAACATTTCAGATAAGGGATACCACCTGTACTTATTACATTCATTCATTTAGCAAATATTTGCCTACTTAATCTATGCTAAGCTCCAGTGACAGAAAAACACAAAATCTGCACCCAAATTCATAGTCTAATACTGAAGACAACAGCTAATGGTTTAAATAGAAATATGTGTAGGTTCCAGCAATACATAAGGAGGGTTGCCCTAATGCTTAAAATGGCAGATGTGGCCTCTTAGAGAGCTAAATCTCAGTGAGTAGGCTTACTTCAGTCAGTGAGAGAACATTCTAAGCACAGGGGGAAAATTGTACGCAGAGATATGGCTACAGAAGTAGTTCTGTATAGCCAAGTCATAAGTTTTATGAGGGCAGGTGACTTTTTCATTAAATTCTCAAAACAATAAGGTGCAGTTACTATCATGATCCTCATTTTTATTGACTACAGAATGGTCCTGGAAGGACCAGTAGGCAATCTGGCAGGATAAAACTAACCTGTTACTTCACTTAGGGATAATACTTAGAATTATTCCATTTATGTCTTTGTTTCTTCTCTTGTGTTTTATGTCTTTGTTTCTTCTCTTGTGTTTTAGCACATTGAGAAACTTTTTTAAATGGAAAATTTGCATATAGACTATAGATTGGGTCAATGGTATTAAATTTCCTGAATTTGATATTTGATACTTGCACTTTGGATATGTAAGAAAATATCCTAATATTTAGAAAATACACACTGATGTGTTTTAGGATAAAGAGCATGATGTCTGCATCCTAATCTCACAATATTACAGGGAAAAAAAAAATGTGGGAATGTGGGTCGTGTGTGTGTGTGTGTGTATTAGTTTGCTAGGGTTGCTATAACTCACAAAAGTGGTTGGCTTAAACAAATTTATTTTATTATAATTCTGAAGGCTATAAGTTTGAGATCAAGATGTCAGCAGACTTGGTTTCCTCTGAAGACTTCTCTCCCTGTCTTGTAAATGGCTATCTTCTCCCTGTGTTTACACAGAGTTCTTTCTCTGTTCCTCTTTTTATAAGGACAGTCACATTGGCTTAGGGTTCACTCTTGTGATCTCATTTAATCCTAATTACCTTTAAAGCCCCTATCTCCAAATACATTCTGAGGTACTGGGGGTTAGGACTTGCAACATATGATTTTCACAATTCAAGCCCATAAAGTACTACTTAATGTTTGTATTTTTATTTTATATCCCACAACTTTGTTAGCCCTATTACAAACACGAATGTGCATGTACATATCTTCCAGGTTTTTATTTATACAAACAGGCATATCATCTGCAACTAATATCAGGATTTTTTTCCTTCCTTATCAGTTACACCTTTTATTTCTCTTTCTTGCCTTTTTGTACTCACTGAGACCCCTAATTCAGTGTTATATTTACAAAGTAGTAACTGGCAACCTTGTCTTATTCCTAATCGTACAGAAAATGCCTTCAATGTTATATAATTTAATGTTAACTGTGGGGTTGTTTTGTTGTTATCCTTTATCATGTAATGACAGTTCCTTTCTGTTCCTGGATTTTAACAATTTTTAATTATGAATGGTGGTCATGTTCTTTCTATATCTGCTAAGATGATTACATCTTTTTTTCTTTTAATATGTTTACATATTGTGTTAAATTAATCTATTTTCTAGAGCTAAACCTTGTATGCCTGGGATAAACCCAGTTTCTAAGTATCGTATTCTGTAGCCCTTGCTAGATTTGCTTTCAGGGTTTTGTTCAGGATTTTTGTATCCATGTTTCAAAGACATTGGTTTGTATTTTTCCTTCTCCTATGGCTCTAGTATCACTTCAGTAGCAAGGCTGTGCGAGCCTCATAAAATATGTTGAGGAGTCGTCCCACTTTTTCTCTTCTCTAGAAAAATTTCCGTAAGATTGGAATTAAATGTTCATTAAATGTTTTGAACTCACATTTTAAGCCATTTGGACATGTGGTTTTCTTTATGAGAAGATTTTCAACAACTGATTGAATTTTTAACTGTAGTACTATTCCAGTTCTTTTCTACTCTGTTGGTAAATTATGCTTTTCTAGGAATTTATCTATTTCTTATGACTTTTAAAAATACTTGTAATGAAGTTTTTGTAATATCATCTTGCTTTTAAATTTCTGGATCATCTGCATTTTTTGTTACCTTTGCCATTTCTGATAATCTTAGGGCTTTTTCTCTTTTTTTCCTCAAATAATATTTCCAAACTTTGTCAGCCAAGTATTTCAAAGACCTCACTTTGGACTCGTTTTGTGCCGTTGTTGTGCTGTGTGTGTTTTCTAGTTCCTTTATTTCTGCCAGTTATTTTCTTGTTTTTACTTTCTTTAGGTTTATATTTTGTCTAAAAATATTTAGGTTGCTCATTAATTTTTAGCCTTTTCTAATATTTCAAGGTCATTAATTTATTTATAAATTACCACTCAAGCTGCATCTTACAAATTTAACTTAGGAGTTTTGTAGTTACCATTTGGTTTTCAATATTTTCTAAGAAGAAGTGTTTTTTTTTTAACATCCAAACATACGATTTTTTTGTTCTGTTTTTTTGAGACAGAGTCTTACTCTGTTGCACAGGCTGGGGCACAAAGATCATGGCTCTCTGCAACCTTGACCTCCCAGGCTCAGGTGATCCTCCCACCTCAGCCTCCGAGGTAGCTGGGACCACAGGCATGTGCCAGCACTCCCAACTAATTTTTTGTTTTTGTAGAGATGGCATTTTGCCATGTTGCCCAGGTTGGTCTCAAACTCTTGGGCTCAAGTGATCTTCCCGCCTCGGCCTCCCAAAGTGCTGAGACTACAGGCGTGAGCCACTGTGCCCAGCCCATATGATATTTGTGTATTTTGCCATTGGTTTCTCAGTTAATTGCAGTGCGGTGAGAGAATAAATCATGGTCTACATGATGACATCCTTTGACATTTGTTACGCCTAATGTATGGTCAGTTTTCAAGTGCGCCTGAAAAGTATGAATGGTCTCTAACCACCAGGGACAATAGTCATATATGCCTCTTAACAATGCTACTCAACACAGTGTTTATCTTATCTATCCTTAGTGCTAATAGAAGAATATCTTAAGATACAAGATACTAATATAATGAAGAACCCTTTATCTTTATACAGAGTGGTGAGGCTGAACGGCAATATAAAGGAACCTTAGACTGCTTTGTGAAGATATACCAACATGAGGGTATCAATTCCTTTTTTCGTGGTGCCTTCTCCAATATCCTTCGTGGTACAGGGGGTGCTTTGGTGTTGGTATTATATGATAAAATTAAGGAATTCTTTAATATTGATATTGGTGGTAGTTCATAGGGAGAGTAAATTAAGAAATACATGGATTTAACTTAAACATACAAATTACATAGCTGCCATTTGCATACCTTCTGATAGTGTGTTATTGTCTCTATTTTGTTAAAGTGCTAGTTCTGCAATAAAGCATATATTTTTTTCAAGGATTTAAATGCTAAATATCAGATTTTTCTTCCCATTTAGACTCAAACACATTTTAATGTGATATTTCATTTATTATAGGTAGTGTATTTTAATGTGTTAGTTTAAAATTCTTTTAGGATTAAAAATTAAAATGTATAATGCTGAAATCTAAGAAATGAAAGTATCTTCTTTTAAATTGCTATTCATTTAATATACCTGTTTTCCCATCTTTTAAAATCATATGGCATGACAAATATTTCTTAAAAGCTTATCAAGAGATGTCATCATAACTGTAGGCACAAATAAGCTTTGTTCTGTATCTCTTCTAAGACAGCACAGCTATTACTGTGTACCGTATTTACAGTATCAGTTAGCTTTTGATCATAGATGTGATCATTTAAAGATTTGATAATGATTTCAGTGACATTATAAAACTGAAACTGGAAAATAAAAATGGCTTATCTGTTGATGTTTGTCTTTGAAATAAATAAATATCTTGCTAGTGTGAATATATCTTAGAACAAAAAATACCCCTTGAAAATTAGTTTGTATATTTTATTGACAATAAAGGAAGTTTAAAACTGTTATAAAGGAGTCTTTTTTTCCCTGACTCTAACTGTATTAGTAAGCAGAGTATAGCAAAAAATTTTTTCAGGACTGGCTTAACAACAAAGAACAAAAGATATTTATCAATGGACAGATATAAACAGCTTTCCAAGGTTTTGTATAGGAGTTTGTCTTGTTTTTTAAAGCTGTTGTAGAATACAGTATATTTGAAATATATTTGAAATCCCCAAGGTTTTAATGTTTTAGTAAGTAAAGGGATGTTAAGCTAGTGGGGATAAAATACAGACAGATTTTATGAGGCTGTGAATGGGCAAAATGAGGTAGGTGAACTTCCTTATGCACAGGGACAAAGCATATTTCAAGGACAATAATACAGACTATACTTTTAAATATATTGGTGTTATCACTCGAGGATAAAAAAAGTCAAACTCTAAACATCATTTCTTGTAGTGGTCAACATAACACAGGAGTTATAGGAACAAAATAGAAAATATTTTCCTTTCCTTCTACACTATCAAATGTGGTTAAAATAACCAAATATGAGTAGTAGTTTTCCATATAAACAGCAACATAATATAAAAGTTTTCAATTTATACAGAGACATGCATAGAGGAAAAAAGTCTAAATTCTAAATGGCATGGATAGAGGGCAAACAGGAATTTAATCTTTAAATTGCTAGACAAAAATTCTATTCTTTGAAGCCTAAAAGATGTATAGTTGGAGCAAAAGAAAATAAAAATGTTACTTAGTATCCTGGACAAAGTTAAAACTACATTAAACTGTTATTAGTGAGAGACAATTTATAGTGAGCAAAATCAACACAATTATATAAGGAAACGATTATTTTTAATCTTAACATTGGAAAATGAATAGTTAAAATATATTTAAAATGTGTACAACTTTTATCTTAAATGACTAGTGCTGCATCTTTTGTTCTGTAAAAGAGAGCTGGAATACTGCATTTTAAAAAGTGTCATATTAGATAGGATTTCTAATTTCCTACCCTAAAACTATCTCCTCAAGTAATACCTAAAATTCCATTCTCCAAGTTTCATTCTCTTAATTCATCTTTTTTAATTCATTGAAATACATCCTCCATAAAACAAGATGACCTTTTAAGTTGGTAGTCATTTTTCTGAAACTACATTTATTTTGGTGAATTTTACATTGTTTTCTCACAGCAGGTTATGCTAGAGAAAGTGGAACGGGGAATGAAAATAACAGACATTCTCTGGATAGTAAGAGGCTAAAAGTCCCTGAAAAAATGTTTGCTATTTTATATTCCTACTCTAGATTGATGCTTTCTAGTAAAAATTAGAACTTTGGTACCCTCATATTAAATTTTCTGAAATAGCTCCTTTGTTCATCTATAAACATATTACACAAGTAAGCAATTGATACCTTCATTCTTCATTAACTAATAAACCTAAATGTAGATTCAGAAGGGCTGCTTTTCTTCCACCACCTCTTAAATGTTAATATTCTCCAGGGGCCAGTCCTTTGCTCTTTTCTCACTTTATAAATGGTAGATTATGCGACACATGCCCCTCCCTCACAAGAACATGCTGGATAAGATATATCCAAAAAGAATTGGTTTGGATTTGTATTGTTTTAAATAGGAAACTAGCATATCAAGAGATGTCAAAATAAGATACTCAAGGCCAGGAGAAATTGGGAGTTAACCTTGTAGCAGTCCACAGATTTCAGAAACAAATAGACATTAAAGGTGAATTTGACACCCACATATGTAGATGGGAGTTAAGGAATTTGGACCCTGGTAGAGTAGGCAGCTGAAACTGAAATATACCATGCCCACCAACCACACAAACTGTCCAATAAAGCTACAAATGTGGGTCCAGATGCGAAGCAGGCATCTGGTTTGAGGCCAGGAGTTCAAGACCAGCCTGGGCAACATACTGAGACCCCTGTGTCTATAAAAAAAAAAATTATTCAGGTATGGTGGCATATGCCTGTAGTCCCAGCTACTCAGGAGACTGAAGTGGGTGACTCACTTGAGCCCAGGAGGCTGATGCTGCAGTGAGCCAAGATCATGCCACTGACCTACAGCTTTACAGTCTTGAAAGAAGTGTTTAAGAAGAGATGCTAGAAAAATAGGCAACAAATCACAGTGGAAAAGAAGTGCCACCTACCCCATCAGTGAATAGGGAAAGAAAAAGCTACCTGTGATGTCTTGTCTCTAGTTTGAGGGTTAACAATTTTAAAAATTAAGCCATCTGTGAAAAATCAAAACTCCAAAATCTTTTGTCACAACAAAGTATAGAACGTGTGTGTGTGTGTGTGTGTGCATATACATAAACTATAACACAAGAACTCCAAGCTAAACCATTAAAACTGTTCTAGGACCAGTGAAGCCCTCAGGTAATTGGCAAAAACCAATACAGAACCTCTCTGAAATACTTCTACAACCTAGGCCACAAAAAATTCCACAGAAAAGATAGCCTTCGCCGGGCACGGTGGCTCAAGCCTGTAATCCCAGCACTTTGGGAGGCCGAGGCGGGTGGATCACAAGGTCAAGAGATCGAGACCATCCTGGTCAACATGGTGAAACCCCGTCTCTACTAAAAATACAAAAAATTAGCTGGGCATGGTGGCGTGTGCCTGTAATCCCAGCTACTCAGGAGGCTGAGGCAGGAGAATTGCCTGAATCCAGGAGGCGGAGGTTGCGGTGAGCCGAGATCGAGCCATTGCACTCCAGCCTGGGTAACAAGAGCGAAACTCCATCTCAAAAAAAAAAAAAAAAAAAAGAAAAGAAAAGATAGCCTTCAAAGAAGATGAATTAATGAGTCATCTGAGAAAACAAAGCACTGTGTGGTAAAGGTGGTAGATAATGACAAACAGCACCCCATCATAAAAATGTGATAAAAAACTCTAAAAGAAACTATAAAATTAGAATGTTTAAAATGATTAATAGATTTTTTAATAATTATTTTTTAATAAAAATAGTACAGCATGAAAGGACAGGCAAGTTTGAAAAAATCTAGAAATTGTTAAGTACAGTGTTTGAAATTAAAAACACAACAAAAGAGAGGGCTAAAGGTCACAGTGGTTTGAATAAATTTTACATATTCTAATAGATCCAGAAGAAACTGAAAAAAGGTGTGAGAAAAAAACAAAAGAATTTCTGATGCTTTTCCAGAATCTCAAGAATCCATTTGTCTTCAGGTTAACAAAAAAACTCTGAGTGAATAAATAAAAGCAAATCTACAATTAAAGACATCATAATAAAATTGCAAAATGTCAAAGAAAAGACAAACTCATGACTTAGAAAGGAACATTATACTCAATAATGGATGATAAAAGATAGGAGAAAATACTGTCAAAATTTCTACACGAAGCTATTAAACAGTTCCATGACAGTAATATTTTCAAACAAAACAAAAATAATTCACCCTTCAGAGATCTTTGCTTAGCAGTCCCCAAACTTTTCAGTATGAAGGACCAGTTTCACAGAAGAGAGTTTTCCCATAAATGGGGAAGGGTATTCGTTATGAATCTGATCCACCTCAGATCATCAGACATTAGATTCTCATAAGGAGCGTGAAACGTAGATCCCTTGCATGTGCAGTTCACAACAGGGTTCACATTCCTATGAGAATCTAATGCCACCTGACAGGAGGTGGAGCTCAGGTGGTAATACTTGACTGCCCTCCGCTCAACTGCTGTGTCCCCAGTTCATAATAGGCCACTGACCAGTTGGCCACTTGGGACTGGGGACACCTGCCTTTGCTGAAAGGAAACTGAACTCAGGAGGAAGTCCAGATGAATGCAAGCAGCAAAAAAATAAATTGGTAAACATGTTAGTAGACCTAAATAAACACTGCCTGTAAAAGGAAAAATACATACTTTTTGGTGCAAGGAGTGACTTACCTTTCACCAAATTTAGAAGAATGAATTTCAGAATAATTTAGCCTTTCTCACTTTTCTTGGGAACCTACACACATTCTTCTCTCTTGCTTCTTGATATGAATTTATGAAAGAAGACCCCAATGTGACATTAGTATCTATTACTGTAACTAGATAGATAAGTCTACTAAATTCTGGGGTGCAATAATTAACAAGCCCATAGGCACCTAAGACATTTCTCTAATGTTAGTGTTAATGTCAGGTACACAGCTAAGGCTAGTTCTCGGAGAAGCAGGCTTCCCACAAAAATCACACCTATAGGTAAAAATAAGAGCAGCCTGGAAAACTCGGGCTGCACCTGCACAGACAGGCAGGGTCCAGCACAGAAGCCTTTTGTTCTTTGTGTGATTGGCAGGCTCCCAGGAAAAAGTGTCCTCCCTTTTCATACATGTACACAGTGGACTCCATGGGAACTTGTGCCGGGAGAAGCAAGGCTTACCTAAATTAAGCACAGAGATATACAAACAAGAGTAGTGGCACTTTGTGCTTGCCTAGAGACGTACCCACAACTACATAAGATAAATGGACTTGCACAGACAGTTTTACTGATAAGATAAATTACTCAAACAGCTACAGAGATGAGAGGAGTTTCTTATAAAAGCTTTTTAATTCAACTGCAAAAACAGCAACCCACTAGGGCTCCCCTCTCCACTGTGGAGAGCTTTCTTCTTTCACTTACTAAACTTTCATTCTAACCTCACCCTTTACAGCCATGCTTCTTAATTCTCTTGGTCATGAGACAACGAACTTGGATAACACCTTAGACAACTAGACCAGTGACCACTGACTTTGATTTTTATCCCTGTTGTCTACTCCTCAACTTTAATTTTTTGAAAATTCTGGTAGGAATGTAGCTAAAATGGTATATAGAAGGAAACTTATGGCTTCAAGTGTATGTATTACAAAACAAGAAACTGAAAATGAACTAGAAAAAGAAGAAACAAAAATATAGAGTGAAACAAAGAGCAGATCGAACAGAAAACAATAAGGCGAGCAAGAAAAACAAAAGCTGAATCTTTT